TTACTTGTCTCATAAATTACTGTAACGGCTATACATTTTGTTTTCGTTAGATTAAAACTTTGAGTATAATCGACAAAATGTTTAAAACTTCTAATTAAATTACGCCATTAATTTAACTAATATTTTAATCCTGCAAATTTGCAATCATGCGACAAAGTTTAGTAGGATTAATGATAAACAGAAGTAACGAAATAAGTAAAAATATTCATTCTTCTCGTTCGATCAATTCTAGCTAACCAAAGCTTGCCTCGACAGATAATTTGCGTTTATATAAAAAGACAGAAATAATTTGGCACAATATTCTAATGTGAAATGCACATAGGATCAAATATGTCGTTTGTACCTTCTATAAATCTGCATCAGTTGCAATTATCTCTGCTTACCTTGATCGATTTAGAATATGAATTTTATACACATTCGTTACAAACGGATACATTAATAATGAATTCTTTGATATATGAATTCGATCTTTCCGTTCACTTCAGTATCTCGTACATGTTTGGATCTTCATTATTAACAATGTGCATCTTCGTTTGCGGAATCAACAAAAATATAGCCTATTTACAGCTTATATCGAAGCGTTGTACTTCTTCGAATTCAATTATTTCAGTAACATTAATGGATTAGTATCTTTTATGGCATTTATAAGCTTTTATCCACTGCATTGCGGAAATTGTGAGACAATAAAGAAACAAAAATTTATGACGGATATGCTACATTTAATTCTTCCAAACTTAAGCAGATTTTTATTGTTAAATCTGTTAATTTGTAAAAAGATAATTATTTTTTAAAATTTCCTAGATTTAGAAGGATTAAATCTGCACACGCGTTTCTTTTGATTATGAATGAATAAACTCGTAAAAAAGAAGCAGCGGATAAAAGTTTTTCAAATATGCACGAGGCCAGTTTTATTCACAAGAGCAAATATATCATTCAAGAAAAATGTAGATCGTCTAATCATCTATATACAACACTGTACATCGTTAATTGAGATTCATAAAGAAAACTCGTACGTCAACCGATCAATGCGGGCGTCCCCTCTTGGCGCGCGAGGATACTTCATTATTAATGACAACGCGCACCTCAATTCTAAACAAAACGTGTTACTTACCATGATTAGCGGACGTAGACCGGAACAATCCATTTACTCCTCTATCAAAGGCGTTTCCTTCTACTCGATAAGGAAAGACGCGCGTACATCTATATTTAATATTAGACGTTCAGCCAACTCTTCAGATAAAATAGCTGAGTCGTTTGATACACCAATCAGTTGCACGTGGAAAATCGACGAATAAAATCCTCGCGTATTTTTTCGCGATCATTGTTCGCATTTCTTCACTCTGTTAGAGTTCAAAGATAAAAGTCCTGCCGTATTAAGCGCGGGCAAGATCACAGAAACAACTCTAAGGCTCATTGTAGTCACGTCCTATCGCAATGTCTCTGCTATAGTTTTATCATTAAATACAAGTAGAGTCCGGATGTTGACTGGCGGACTTCCTCGTCTTCTTCGGCTCCTTCGTCGTTAGTTCTTGAGATGGTCTACGCTGGGTGCCTAACGTCACCAAAGCAGACGCGACGGCTAAACCGGCGCTCTGTCCAGCTGGCGTATAAGGCTCGCCACCAGTTGGCATTCTGACTAGCAGAGACAGGACCGCCGCTCTGTTGCCACAACAAGGCTCCAATGCGATCGGACTAGGAGGAACATCCTGTAATAGAAAAATAAATTTCATAAAGCAAAATGTTCTATTTTGTTATGCATGTGAAATATCTAAAAACAAAAAAAAGAATCACGTTTACCTTTATATTTTTACGACAATTGTTAAAGTCGGTATCACCGTGTTCCAAATCTGTGCCATCAATGTCACGTCTTTCAATCTCTACTACAACTGAACTGAAAGCTCTGCTGGCCATTTGTTCCATTTCTAGGAAGAGCCGTTGTCTTCGTCGATACATATCGTATTTCTGTTTGATCTTCCACAGAATGGCAGCCACCAATAGCAGAGCGAGAAAGCACCTGTGTGGTGGCATGTAATCTCTAGTTTACAAGTAAGTACTGCCTGAGGTTCAATAAGACGGAAAGAATATAGAAAATTTAGAAAAAAGAAAGCGTTAGGCCAATAGATGTATCATCTCTCAAGATCACTCTTCGCATTGTGTTTAAAGAGATTTAACATAACTTTAATTCATTTTATTTCAAACTGAAAACCACTTCAAAGTCCAACTTATGATACTCACGTGCAGAATGTAATGAAAAACTGTTGCAGATTCAATTTAGAGTACTGAGAGAATGAGATCTGAATCCACACTGGCGGTTGAAAGTCATAAACATATACGTAGAATGTGGTGAAGGTATTATTATCTTCGCTGCCAAAATTGTAATCTGCCTTGCTGAAACGGTGCTTATACATGGTCGTCGTGCAATTCGCGCCGAGCAGCAATGGCCTTTCCGGACTGTTTACTTTTTTGATGGTAATATTCATCTTAGCAAGTACGGAACACGTGATGGAGAATTCGGCATCGATATCGGCTTTCGGTGGTGAGTTTTTGAAATTAATGGCCCGATAGTGACGATCCTCCTTCTTGCTTAAGTTAAATGTAAACTGATAATCAATAGCCAAGTCATCTGAAACAAATACATGTACAATAAATATATATATATATATATATATATATATATATATGTATGTATATATACTGGACCATTTTGAAAATATCCACGTGTTCATACGACAAATAGCTCATTCGCTCGTCACAACTTACACGAGAAAAGAGTCGGCGAAAGAAACGGGAAGAATTGTCATCTCGAGAGTGTGTCGTTCACGAGGACATCAAACAATATCGTTCTCGCGACGAGTATTGCCGTTCGTTCATTCACGGTGGCCTTCTCGAAAATGCGAGGATGATTCATCCTGACTGCGCGATTCTTCCGTTTTTTCCCGATGAAAAAAGGAATTCGACGAAAAAGGGAATCAATGAAATCGCTACTGTCCGGCCGAAGAGTTTAGCTTTATTATACTCACAATAATTTTGAGAGCGATGCAGGTGAATCAGTTCATAAAGGCGTCGTATTTCTTTATTGAAGCAATTTTTCGCTAGTGACGAATCATAGGTATAAGATTCTTGAAGAAGCGCGCCTAGCATTCAATCGAACCCCTCGGAAAGGACGTAGTCCCATGAGAGACCATTCGGACCACTTCATTTTGCGCCCAACAGACTACGGTAATTGTAAACTCGAACTATAATGCCGCTCGATAAAAAGGACATTTGTCAAGCGTATCGATGAGCGCTTTATATTGAAAAAAATGTGGTTTCTTGAATCCTATAAAATTTAGCGAGCGCTAAATACACACCTAAATATTCTGATACGTTTACGTTTTAATTTTTAAAAAGTCAATCAATTGCTATATTTATGTAAAAAGATTTTGTTAAATACTTTAATTAATAGAATTTGCTGTAAAATATTTTAAATATCATGTATTAGAATAAACAAGAAATTTTATTAAAAATAATTATTTTTCAGACTTTTATTTGCTAATAAATTTGCTGTTAACTCAGCATGATGTTATCGTAAATAACTTTTTAATGGCTCATGTGTTGATCGTATAACAAAAACAAATATGATCAATTACAAAAGAACAGTAATTGTAAAAAATCTAAAAACTCGTCAAACGGCTTTGCCGATCACGTGCGACGACAGCTTAACAAGGTATGTAAATAGCGTCTACAATAATTATGAAAAATTTTAAGTCTGTAACTATTATTTTTTTCTTCTCAAGGAACGTGGAATTAACAGTTAAGGAGCTCTTCCGTGTTTCAAAAAGATTTGAAGCAACCCACTGACGATGAGTTTTCCTCTCAGGAAAGCTGCCGTGTGATTGCCAGCAACGGCCACTACCAGATCATTTGTGTTGGTCTCTCGGATAGTAGCCGACTCCTTTCCTGGACGCCAGTCCGATGTCAGGTTTTCGGTCCTAATACATCGTCATCCGTAGAGACGAGACCTGCACGCTCACCGGCAGGTCATTCGTTATGGTTACCGTCGGCCTCAGTGAAATCTTTGTCCACCGCGCGATCCGATCGCCGATGCGATAAACATTAATGGGTATTGATGTTGGAGCGCCGATCGAGGTCGTGATCATCGTGATATCGCAAACGGTGGATCTCTTACGACATAGTGATTTCTTCGTTTGATTCTAATGATTGCTTTATGTTGCAGGATATGTTACTCTCATATTGCAGACAGTATCGTATATTATAAATATTTTATGAAAATCGTCGCATCTACGCATATTTACAGGGTTTAAAATATCGCAGCATGATATTTTTTTAATGAAATTTAAATTTAGTGATTTTATTGACTTTGCAAATATATACGATTTTATTATATCGAAAGAATTGATATCAAACTACTTTTATTAAATTCAAGAAATTTTTAGAGTACATAATCTATCTCATCTGATCGACTTTGATCAACTAAGTCTCAAGCAAAAATGTTTATCTCGCTTCATCACCTCCTTCATTGCTAATCGACTTCGTCACCTCCGGCCGACAACGATTTGTATCGCGGGAGAGAATAATCGAGTGGCATTTTTACGCTGTTTGCAAACTGTATCATCGGCGGGAGGTCGAAGGGCGCAGTCTAGAGGAGGTGTTTCACAAGGGGGGCCCACGCTATCGTGACGAGTATCGAGACGAGCAATCGAGAGTACGATAGAGCTAGGGGTGCCGCGGTACGCAATTCCACCCTCGCGTACGATCCTCGGGCGAGATGGTGAGTACGTGGGTATTCGTCTATGATATACGCGTACATGTGCGCTCTCACACACGTCCGCAGGTCGAGAGGGTGCATTGCCATTCGTTCTCGCAGCCGCGGTGAGGTAACGCGTAAGATGACGGGCGGCGAACATCAAAGCGGCCGACATCTTTCAGAGACCGCCACCGCCTCTGTCTCTCTCTCTCTCTTTCTCTTTCTCGTTACTCTCGATCCGCGAAACTGGTTCTCTCTTTCTTCGCGTCTCCCGCGCGTTCGTCCTCGTTTATCTCGCTCCTCGTCTGAACCAACGACTCGGCGGAACCCACCATCGCGCCGCGTATGTATCGGGCATTCATTTCAGTAACGAGCGCGAGAGAGCAGGGGACGTTAAAGTGCGTGGTAGGCAGCCGCAACGCATACCAGCACACTCGCGGCTCTTTCGTTTATTTCTTGATTTCCCGCGCTCCCATTTATCCGGCTCTTACTCTTTTATCCACATTCATTGGAGACGTCTTCTCGCGATTCTTATCACATCAAAGACTGCCATTATGCTACTACGACTACCACATTCATGTCAATCAGATATGTTCTGTAATATTTTAATATTTGATATACGGGCGAAATGTAACAATTTACGCTAGACTCCGACACAAAATCATAAAATTCAATTAGGCGTTATTTTTATTGAACCTTTACGTATTCTATGCGCTATTTCTCTTGTTAGAAACTGATAACTTTTAATTAAGTATGTAAAAGCCCTTTTTTCTATCCTGGCTTAAATCCTGCGAAGCAGAAAAACGAATTCGGACAGATATATAGAATGTAACATTTATACAATATTGCGGCCCGCTCACAGATATCTTTGTTTGCCCGATCTTTTTGTGACGATGTTGTGTGTGCGAGCCAAGTTGCTGTTCAAACGCACCGCAACCGCGTTTTGCCGGGAGCTTTAGCCTTAGGTAGTGTCGCGGCAAATTTTTCGAAATTTCTGGAAACCATGGACTGAGAGACGTCTTTTGTCATGTGAAGATCATCTTCCGTGGCCAGGTTCTTTACAATCAGATAGCAGGCCTCGTGGAGCGCCACATCGCCAGCCGCAAAACACTCGATAGTTTTGTCACTTTTTAGTCAGGTGGATTAAACCCGGCGGGAAAAAAACTAAAAAAAGGGATTATGGGTATCCAAATATCTAAATCTCGGCTAATAACGAGGCTGAGAACGTATATTCGCATTGTAATATCAAGTCTGGTCTATTTCCCGTTTTGACCAAGGATTTTGAAGCGTTTCTGAAATTGGCGGCGGTTCTTCAAACGGTCTTATAGAGCAAAAATAAAATTATTTCTACCGACTTTATTATTTAAAAAGGATTATGATGTCAATAAGGGTTTAAGTATTAAGTGAAAAAAATCTTATTTTTTGATAAAAATATTATATTATCCGTTTTTCTTGTAGTTGGCTTTCTTTCAAAATCCGAAAAATTCAAATCTTTTTTAGTTTCTATGTATATATATAAATGTTACAAGATATTTTTTACATTAATGTGTGTTTTTCACATAAACTACGTGAAAAAGTTAAATATGTGTTTTAACTTGTTTTGGTATTATATTTAGTGATCTCCCCCACTCTCTCTCTCTTCTCTCTAAAGCTTTACTAAACAATTTACTAAATTATATGTGCTAGATTACAGTCATATTGTTTCCTTTCCCAAGATTTTTTTACGGGTAAATTTTGAATTATGTGTACGTATCTCATTGTGTGTGTGTTTAATTAATCAGTAGAATGTTTAAAGCGCGTACATATATAATTACGACTGAAAAAATAAATATTATAATAAAAAGAAATGACACACCATCTCATCATGTATATATATATGTATAATATTATATTTAATGTAAAATAAATTTAAATATTCACGTATTCTTTCAAAAAAGTAATAAACAAATATATATAATTAAAACAAAACTGAAAAACAAGACTAAAGATATGGCACGAAAAATAAACTTGAAACATTTTAGCTCGCAAATACATATCTTTAAAAATATCTGTAAAAAACATATAAAAAATGTTATGCTGATTTAATTATTTTGAATTTTAAGCTTGAATGCCAAGCGTATAAATATTATGATAATCAAGCAGCACAATTTATGTGTGTGTTTTGGTTGGATTGTCATAATGCTTATTAAATTGATAGTCGTGGGCGTGTTAAGAAATTCCCGCGTGCCAGATCGATTCGGTTGAAGAAGGGTGAACCGTCACAATAAAGGGTCTTTGCACGAACAGCTAGGAGTTAAGTCGTGGATAATAATTACCGATCCCTCGTTAGTGCCATCAATAGACGGTCTCGCCCACCTGCCCACGTTATAATAATATAAGCCGCCTCTTTTGCGGTCGGTAGCTCTAGCACGTGCCGTCAGAACCTCCTTTATTCATTTTCTGCCCTACGTTTCTCACCCTCTCACGCCCCCGGCTGTCAGCACTCTATCGAGTCCCGATCCGTTTCTCAATATTCCAACGCACGGGCGTTACGTCAGAGATTTATTTGAGAGAAAATCCTCAGATAATCTAAAAGCTTAATTAAATATAATAGTTTTAAATATAGTCCCGCACGCAAATAAAAACACGTATATATGTAACTTGACTTTATTCTCTAATAATTACACACACTCTCTCGCTCTTTTTTCTTTTCCTCCCTCTCTTTTAAAAGTTTTATTTTTCGATTATTCTTTTATATATCATCTCGATGATGAATAATATTTATATACGAATATTATATACATCCTGCGAATATATAAAAGTGATGAAACTATCGAGATATACGATTGATATACGATGCAGGAGTTGATTATTGCAGGCTATTGCAGAAGCCTCTTGTCTCGAGTCGCCGACTTAAAGCACCCTTTTCGCAATCCGCTTGATATTCCCTTTGCAATCGCGCAGACATCTCGCTCGGTTAATTGCGTTATTCAGAAATGATCAATCAGCAATTAGCGATCCACTGTCCAGCGGAGAACGCCGGATTGCTGCTACCCGAGTTATGAAAGCCACTCCAAACGTACAACATGGAATTATGGAACCGTACAACCTGAATAAAGTGCGTTAACCGTATTATTACAATTCGTAATTATCGGTGTTGGCAGTCTTAATTTGTGAAATCAGATTGCAAATAAATACACAAAAAACGAGTGACAATAAGAAAATAATTCTTCATAATATTTTTTTCTCAATTTTTTCTAAAAAAATTCTATAATTTATAGTTTTTATGTTTTATATTTTTATAATATATTATATGAAATAAGATCTCTTTTATTCATAGATTCTCTACAATTTTTTCTACATTTTTTAAATTTTGCTATTAAAATATTTATGAAATATATTTATTATGTTCACACACACATACACAATAAAAATCTTTCTCTCTTCATTGGAAAAAAATTAATTGCAGATTTTTTACATATAAACGTCACAGAAACATATGATAAATATATGATCCATTTTATATGTTGTGCGATTGAGGATGGTGACCGGTCGATGCAACCAGTTCCACGCGTTCTCCTGCGCCAATTTGCGACGTCGCGAGAGAGGAGATGCGGCAGAAAAAGAATTATTAGAGGAGAGAAGCTTGGCAGAGAGACTGGTAACATGTGATAGCGCATGACGAAGGCATGATGGATGAGGGGGCGGCTAGTTTACGTGATCGGGACATGATCGCTCGCAGACGGGGTGGTCCGTTTGTCCACTGCTGCTCCGTGTTCGTCTTTTCTCTTTCTGCCTCTCGAACGTATGTCTCCTCTAACCTCACTCGCTTCCTCGTCCTGTCACCATCGTCTTTCTCATCACGCGTACACCAGAACGCGGTCGGACGCACCCCTGTCACCGGACTGAGTGATCTCGTTGTCATACGACGAACGCGACTGCAAGAAGGATTCGCGTATAATCTTCTACGCCGATGTCTCGTATGCCATCGAGAAATCGAGAAATAGTCGAAGTAACATTTCAAAGATTTTGTCCGTATCATATTTCGTCACCTCTTATATCACCTTGTATTGCAATCTAAATTTTTACAATCAAGATCTACGAATATTTTAATAAATTATTTTGTTCGAAAAAACGACTTTGTATCCTGTAACTCCTTACATTTCAATTGCCTTAACGTACCTCCTTTTAGAATTTGCATTTATGTATTTTGATTGACTAAAAAAAGTAATTTGGTTTTTAGTAAGGCCACCGATGAGCTCAACCGACCGATACCTGTACCTGTATCGGTACCGGGCTACCTGTATGAGTTGGTTTTCTTCATATCAATTTGGGTCTCGGAATGACCTGTCTCATTCCACCTCCAACTAATGCCCTTCACAATGTTCTTCGAAAAAAAGGAGTCGGGTTTCCTCTTTCCTTTTCCTATGCGCAGGTTGGGTCGCGAAGTCACCGCTGAAATTCGTGCGGACATTGGAGACGGACGTAGCGGGGCGCGGGGTTCACGTTGAGACATCTTCCCGAGGATGAGCACACGAGCTCCCGAGTTTGACGAGGGCACAAACGAACGAGAAACCAGTAGCCTCTCGTGGAAGCACCCCGCTGACCTCGTCCAATTCCCTCTTCGCCGAAGATTAGATGCACAGCGATGTTCTGACATGAGGAATGCTTTGCCGATGCCGAGAGTCTCGGAGTCTTTCGGAGGAACAAGGTCCTGTCTCTTCTGCTACCATATCCCGCGCACTTTTTTCCATTTTCGACGATGTTAATTCTCGATATATCTGTCACACGGCGGGAGGGAAGCCCCGCGAGAGGAAACGAGGCATCTAATTTGAATGCTACTATTTTAGTTGCTGCCAGTGATTCGACAAAATGTGGATGAAACTGCACTAGCTTATGTGACGACTTGTCAGAAAACTAAACAAAATGCTTTGTACTGGATTTAATACAAAGACGTTTTTGTAAACATAAAATATTAATGAATTTCAATACATATATGCAGCGGTTTTCTGAAATAAAAATAATTTTAAATTTAAACCAATAAAGACTGTTTTTTAAAATACATAAATATATAAACATTTGCAATAATTTTATTTTTATAAAAGCTTTATAAATATTCGTCGATTAGTTTAACCAAAGATAATAACAAAAATAATAACCTTATATATTTTTGATTGTTTTGTGATTTAACTCTTCCAAATATTATCATATAATAACAATGGTAGAAGAAATTATAGACAGAACGTTAAGCCGAGATTTACGTCAATGTTCCGCTATACGAACAAGTGCAGAGACAAATATCCATGTAGAAAGAAATCCCAGGACCATCGATTCTGCTTCTAATGCCTTGGACATGCGTTACTATCCAAAATCCAGTGAGATTGAGGGATGTGCCTCGATAAATGCCGTCGTGTAGATTGATTTAAAAGATTCTCACGGGCGATTTCACTTCGAGCCATGGAGAAAACGAATCATTGTCGAATCAATTTTTTCATGTATGATATATGGTCGTTCTCGCGCAGATGACTAATCAGAGAGCCAACTGTTTCGTAGAGAATTAGAAAAAAACCAAAACGGTTATATTAACGTCGTCAGTTATACACCGCGGTCGAATAAGCGAATATGATCTCTGAGATTTCTTCTATTTTCGCACAACTCGCCCTTTACACAACCTGCCTTGTATCTTTACGTATCACCATGTATCAGACATTTCTTCGATATTGGAAATAGGTGATCTAACGGAACGACATTTCCTTGGTAAGACCAAGCCAATCGTGAAATGTTTCTTTTTTTTTATATAAAAATCACAGAGTATAACATCTTTTCTCTTCCATAAATAGAAAATATGAGATAAAAAATGCTAGAAAGATGGCAAAAAATAATATATATAGAATTTTAATAAACATTATACATATTTTATATTTGTAGAAAAGTACTCTTTATTCATTATTTTAGGCAATTTAAAAAAGCATACATACAATTATCATTGACAATAAATTTTTTATAAAACGTGATATAAAAAGACATATTTTTGACAACAATATAAAGATCGAAGAAATGCATCTATATTAAATGTCGCGAATGAATGCATTTATTCGCCTATACACATACACGATAATCGAAGGAGAGGAATATCTATATGGGATATCTCTCTCCCATGTATGCATATATATGCACGTTAACATATCGCACAAGTTAAGATAATTGGTCGTACGATCGGAACAAATATTATTTCTTCGAACAGAGAGTCGCGAGGGAGGATTATATTTGTATGATAATACTTCACACTCGGCTGGCTTTTTGTAATGGAAGAGGGATCTATGCATTGGGGGAGCGCGCCCAGTGAGTCGACTTGCTATTATACGATGTAATCAGTACTCCATAAATATCGGCGCTTTCACCCCCATCTACCGTTAAGGATTCAGATAAGTGCTATGTTTTATAGACGCGTTACGCTGATCGTTTTAACGGGTCGGGATAATACAAGGATAATGACAATGAATACTTGAGCGATTGTCGCTTCTTACGCATAAATCGTGAAAAGCCCCGGCGACTCATCTTTAATAATAATAAAAATTTAAAATTTCATTATTATCGTATTATTTAACATACAGAATATGAAAAATATAATATTTAAACGATGTACATATAAAGAATATAAAATGTTAATTATTATTCAATACATTTTATACATTAATTATGTTTTAGGTATCCGATAATTTCAAGAGATAACATAAAGCAGCATACACAACAATGCCACGTGATCTTGGTAGTTTCAAATTCTTCGAAGATGACACCGTTGTTGCTTCTTCAAGGGTATCTTTGTACAGAGAGCCGCAACTTTCAAGAAACTGCGCCTTACGGTACAGGATAAGAGGCAGAAACAAATCCGCCACCTCTGGATGTGAGAAACTGTGCGATAGCTGATACGATGGTTGTCCCGGTAAGCTGTCTAGGAATGCGTCCCTCTCGCTCAGTCTCCCATTCTATTTCGATCAGCTTCTGTCTTTCTTTCTCTCTTCGTCTCCTATTTTCTCTCTCTCTCTTTTTTTTCTGCTGCTCTCTGTCCGATGCGACATTCGAGAAGCCTTCATCAGGCTCCAATATCCAGGCATATCGTTTCGTCTGGCACCCTGTCGGAGGTAGATCAAATCAATCTCGATCGCGGTGCGCTGTGCTCGACCCTTTTCTAACTTCTTGAGATGTCCGCGTTAATATCATGCCGCGTGAAATAATATTATTCACCGTATGATGCGTCTTCTCGGCTACCAAACCTGTTCAACCACAACTGCATTTCTGGAAGGTTAAACTAAGAGGATAACTGAATACTTCCAGAAATGATGAAATTAAAAAGATCGGATTTTTATTATAGAAAATATTACGTCAATATTTTTCATATTTTTCGTGTAACTAATATTACATATGAATATCATTTAGTCAGTTGAATATTTTTTGTGATCAATAATATAAGTAATTCTAATCCTCCTGCTGTTGTTTATTATTTTCTATTTCAATAACATTTTATGAAAAAATTTAATATTTGCCAATGTAAATATAACAATAAATATAGACATTTGCGTATATATAGGATAAAGCTAGATATATTCTACGCTATCTAGGCGCACATACATTTGCGCCTAAATCCGAGCCAAATTGTGTTGGTAAACACGGGCATTGTTCGCGAAGGAAAACCGCCGGGACGCGTTTACGTCACGCCGCCTATTCTGAAAAGTAATCTACACCGTATTGTCGTCGAGACGAAGCGCGCGCCCGACCATCCACGAAAGACTTAGCGCCCCTCTCCCTCCTTTCCATCCGGGCTCTTTTCGCTCTTTAGCGCAGGCTTTAGCCCCGCGATATTCACAAGGACGCCGCGGCACGATCTGTCACGGGCATCGAGAATCGCGGTCGGATGATCGCGCGTAAGCGCGTTATTCGCAGCGGCCTTTCAGACCTCGGCGGTATCGTTGCCTCTTACCCGGGGGTTAACACTCGGTACAAGAAGTGGGGGTAAGTCCCACCACGTCGGCATTGGTCGCCATCACCATCGGGATTATCTCCGGGCCTCGGTATCCCATGTTCTCTCTGGCCGCCTCTCTTCTTCTCTTACCTGATCGCACTCTCTGAGAATTTAAGCGCTATCCGCGCGAAATATTGCTCGAAGTAGCGATAGACACAATGGAGCTTATTCGCATTCTGCATTTACGTCCAATTGCAATCGTTTGATTTTCGGTTTTGATTTACTTGATAAAAACCTCATTCCACGTTTGTCGCGGGCTTTTTCGCAGGAATTACATATTCGGTTATGTAGATGCTTATTTTTTTTATATTTACAAAGATGGCTTATCTTAAATTGTAGAATTTCAAGTTTCAATGAAAGTTTTCGTAAGAAGTATATTACGGAGTTTCGTCAATGTATTCCAACTGCAAAAGTGGCTAAGAAAGTTTATGGGAATACATATTTATATTTCATTTCTTTTTTTTTTTTTCTTATAAATTTCGTAGTACCCAAGAAGATAGTTTAACTTCAAGTTTAAACTCCAATGTTTCGAAATGAGTATACCTTCTTTAATATTTATTCTTCTGTAAACTCTAATAATGTAAATAATTTTTTTTTTCTACTTATTAACTTCATTAAATTTCCATAAAAATTCAACTTAATTTAAACACATTATATCAAATCAATATCATTTCAGATACATTTTTAAGCTTTGTACCTATAGTTAATTTAACAGAATACCGAAAGTATCGTACTTTTTAAAGGCGAGGACTAGAAGGACAAAGATATAGACACGCGCGCCGCTTTCTGGCCGTTTCTATCGCGTCGCAGCTGTAAAACGCATACCATCGGCTCAGTATCCACGATGCCTAATTTTCGAGAGTATGTCCGGGGGAGAGAGAGAGGGGGTCAGGAACCACCTGGAACCCCGGATCAAGGGAGTGAGACTATTCGGATGCGCCGAGCCGTGCAACGAGCCCCGCCGCGAAATAAGGGATGCTCCTCCACCCTGTCCCCGGCCCCGCCGGTTTCGACAGTGCCGTAATGCGGTAACCTTCGTCGTGTTCCTGGCTCTCGACTATCGCTTTTTTACAACGGGCACATATACACGTGTAACTAATACTGAGACGTCGTTTGGGGTAGCCTTCGCCCGAAGGGTAGAACCGAGACTTAAACACGAGCATACTTACCGCATGTTGCCATAATGAGTCGCGGGGTCGAGTGCATCGAGGAGGGAGAGATGGGATGGTGGGGTCGGGTCTCCCTCCCTCCTCCACTCCTGCTCTCTTTTCATTCAACGCCGCAAAGAGCGGCCGATGCCTCTAAAGGAAGATTAAAGTGCCGCGATCCTCGGCAGTTTGTTTATCGGCCGGCTTTCTCTTCCTCTCGCTCTCTGTCCGCGTCGTCTTTTTTTTTCTTTTTCACTATCTTCTTCTGTGCTTTCCTTCCTTCATCTTTGCCCTTTCTTCTCTCCCCGTCGTGCACTTTGTATACGTCCGATCCGTTATTACGAAGTAATAAAACCGAAGAGCGCTTTTTTCGCGAGCGATCTTTTCGCGTTCTTAAACTGAAGACGATAACGTAATATTTTTATAACTGGCAGATATGATTGATTAAAGAATTTTAATCAGTATTTATCCAGATGTTCATTTAGAGCTTTGTTGTTTGGCTTCTCTCCCTTTCTTTTTTTTTCTCTTTTTTTTTATCATTATACATGTCAATGTTTTTTACCAGTCACATTATATATACTATATAAATAGAGCGTGCATCCTCTCCTGCGAAGCATATCAATAATTTTTCATTCTTGCTCTAAAATCACTGGTTGCAAATTCAATTTATTAGTGTGCATTTCTGCAGCATTGCTCGACAACTGTACAAGTTACCTATTCCTCGTTCACAAAGCGCAAGTAAAATCATCTCTGTATGCCATAGTATACGCAGTATGTACGCGCTGGATGTACAAGGGTTCAATCGCGGTTTTGCGAGGGGTTGGAAGTCGGCATACGGAGGGACGCGGCACAGGGGATGTTTCGGAGAGTAGGGCGTACACACACCGGCGGAGGGAAAACATGGTGGCCAACTGGTTGCGGCATTCATCAGAGGCGGTGCTCCGCGTACCTTTTGAGATCTCGTCTTTTTTATCGTTTTCCGTGCACACGCGTACCTCGGCACGAAGAGGGACGGAAAAAGGGAGAAAGAGTGAGAGAGAGAAGGGGGACGCGAGTGGCTCTCTATGAGAAAAACTCTCCATTGAAACTATCGACGAGAAAGGAGCCGCCTCCGTGTCGGCTCCCTTTGCGCGATCCGCTTCGATCCTTGGACGAGGAATCATCCAGAGGTATTTACACCTTCTTTACGCCGAAGAGCCGCACGCAGCGCATTATCGCCGGGCTCTGCTTAATCATGCGTGGCGCGCGCGCCCTGCCATTTACAAAGCTGCACGTACGTAATGGTAAACGTCGTCACAAAGAAAGCGCTTTTCTCCCTTAGCCATGCGTATGTCGTGTGAAACTCTCCGCGTAAATATAATATCTTTGAAAAAAGTCGCGTAAAAAAAAACATATTATTAATATCTGAAAAATTGCGTAATTATAGAGCGAGCCGTATTCATATCCCTTTAATTACGATCAACGATAATTGCATCTCTAGCATATCAATCTTTATTACTGCGAGAGTCTTTTATATTTAATAGTCAGCAATTCCAAAAGATGACAATCTGTCCCGAAAAGATACACATATTTCCGTAAGTTATCATACCTCGCGAAAGTTCGCAGATGAACGCGAGATAAAGCGGCGGCATGGCGCTTGCATTTGCGACGTATGGTCCGAAGGAAGAATGGAAACAGGCAAAGCCGCGCGGCGTGGATCAGAAACGAGAGGCAAATCTCCCTCTCGGATGTTTCCAATTACATTTACGTCTCTACATCCCCGTCTTCCTTCTTGCGCCGGTGTCTGATTACACCGCGATGTCGGGCGCCCCGTTCGCCGCAAAGAGATGCACTTGCTGCGAGATCCGCGTCGCCGGGCGCCGAAGCCTGAAATCAGAGAATAATAAAATTCACCTAACGCCGCCGTGTTTTACGGGTCCCCGATTTCCGCGTAACGAGCGTAACTCGTAGAAGGGCGATCGCGCGGAGAGTAATCCGATAGGTTCGGCGGCGAAAGTTTCGCGAGGGTAACTATGTTTCGGCAAAGTTGGCCTTTAAAGAGCGCCGGATATCGAGGCGCAGCTTGTACTCATTCTTGTGCATGAATAACCGATTAACACATTACTGGGTATTCAAAAATATACATATGTCCTCGCGCTCATTCATTCGCTATTGTTTATACGAAATGCTACTCGTTATATATAACTTGCGTATTAATTATATATTTACATCATTATACATATATATTTTTCTGAAACGACAGGAATGTACACGGAATAAAAGCAGATATCGCGTTTGTAGTAAATTGCTCGATTGTTACCGCTGTTGTTATTATACGTACATGGCTAAATCAATTACTGGCAAATTGTAATTATTATTCTCGGCGGCGTATCTTTGTTCCGCGTAATTTTTTTTGTTCCGATAATCACATTGCGCCGATCTCTTTTTGTCGTGGAACGACACATTTAAAGCCCGCGAGCGCATAATCCATTGTTCACACGGATAATTTTATTAATGTACATTAATCCGCGTGTTCCATGCGTTCAAATGTCCGTATTGCAGTTCGTTAACTTAATGGCGATTATCAGGATGAAATACAACTCGTAAATGCGCGAGGCGCAATCCGGATAAGCCGAAAGGCAATAAAGAGGAATTGTAAATGCTTCGGATGAAAATGCTGCCAACAATGCGGCCTCGATAGTATTCTGTTCATGTTAAACGTTCGAATAACACTGTTACGTATGAAATCGGCTCGATTAAAAATACTGCTAAGCGTTAGTTGTTTCGTACAATATATTCGATACAGTAATAGGCAGAAATATACGAAATCCGCATATACAAATTTGCGAACGATACCGCAAAAAAATTGATGAAAAAATAATATAACAGTTTGGAATAATATTATACGACAATGATAAAGAGAGAAAAAAAGATTTATCTATTATTTATAAATTATTTTATTTTTTCAATGTATTTAGACATATTTGGACAATTGTATCAATAAGAAAGAGAACTATATATATTTTAATTAACTTAGTTTTGCATCAGCGATTATCCGAAATGTCAATGTTATATATCGTAGACAAACGCACGTACACATGGGATTTGTCGCGTTTCGATTCCGACTTGATAAATCCAATTGTACGCGGTGGCTAAAGCCGAAAGATACACGAGAACCGTGTCGAAAGACACGCTACCGAACTTTGACAGCGACTTGCTACCCCGTGTTTCATGGCTATCAACCGAAACCTACCTATACTAGCTGGGAATATTAGCGTGGATATAATACTAAAGACGTTATTATCCTAATAGTTTTCGCATACTCTCCGATTGATATCGTTTTTGCAATTTTGCGAATCCGATTGGAAAAAGTGCAGTACGTTGAAATCCTCTCGATAAATTGTTCCTTGAAACGTGATATATGTATTTATCTTATGTTAGAGATAAATCTTACATAAGTCAAATTTTAAAGTATTAACACACAATATATACACACAAATTAAAAGAAAATATATATTTTTTAAATATTATATAGAGGTAAACGATGTAATTCAGCGGTAAAAAAGTTAAGATGCAATTAAAACCTTCAAAGTTTGATTTAAGTTACTTTAAAAATAAAAGTAGCCACACAAAAAATGAAATTGATTAATAAACACAGGAAATTTTTTCGCTAAAATATTCACGTATATTTCTTTAAAGATTTAAAACCTTATCTCTTCCGCGTTAATCTGTCTATCATTCGACGTTTTTGCATTTTTATTTTGCAACTTTTCGCTGAATCGCTTATGTTGTCATCCCTCGTTAACTATAGTCCTCTCTTTTATCGGTTGCTTTGAAGGCCAGACAGGACAGATCTTTCGTTGAACGTTCTACGCACGACATCGATTCTCGTGCTCCGGCTTCGATTAATCACGCCTGGCTGATTAATTGCATACTCGGTCGGATACACGTATTTAGTGTCGCGAGGGTAGCAAGATCACCTTGCCTGATAATTAAGTACCTACTCTGCGACTATGTACTATCCTTGCGTGTATATTCATGATAAAGTAACGCTTTAATTCGGGAAATTACTACAATACTTGGTACAAATGCACACAAATCCAACTGATCCTACAACGTTTAGATAACTTTTAATCCTTCTTCTCAGTTTTTTATTGTGTAAATATATATGTAAAGAGAAAAAGAGAAAGCGGGAGAGAGAGAGAGAGAGAGAAAGAGAGAAGAGAGAAAAAATTTATTTGTGAGAATTTAAAGATCTCTTGAAAACAGAAAAAATAAATGAATATTAAAAGAAATTTTTATATAATTTGAGAATATAAGATCTCGTGCGATATTTTTTTTTCTCCTACTTTTGTCTTCTACGAACTTCAATTTATTTTATTATAAATGTCAAATGCTTTTATCGACGGTTATATCAGGCTGATGCAGTTTTTTTATTTCCACTCGCACATTACTAATGGCAGGGGACAACGTGTGGGATAAAATCGTATTGTAAAATCAATTTTCCGTCGTATAATGCTGACAATGTGAAGTTATGATTGGTACGAACAATCGGCAAGCATACATGCGCTTTTCGAATATAAAAATAATTGGTAGTCGACGAGATTTTTTTCGCGAGCGATGGGAGGAGATTTTATACGGCGCGACGAATGATGAAATAATTTGCGCGTCGACTGGATGCAACTTTCTCGACGGCTCACATTGTATCTATGTTGCATATTTTTTGCTGCATTATTTCCCCCGAGCGCGTCGTTAATCGCGCCGATTGCCACGCTGGTGAGAAAGAGCTAGATACGCAGGTAATTGGCGCCTAATTGGACCCACCTGTTCCATCCGACCGAGCAAAGAAATCTCGACTCTCTTACGGTATTTATTTTAAGCGAAGGGGTTGATCTCTTTTTCTCTCTCTCTCTCTCTCTCTTTTCGTAATCTAACACTTGCATTGATCCCTTTGACAATAAATCACAGATTCAAAAGTAAATATTACCTTTCAACTCAACCATCAGCTTTATTTACTAAATATATATTACAAAAATGCATTTGTTTTAATTCCGCGCAACTGTTTTGTGCGACTTGCTTTGTATGCGAGGTAATCATTTTAAAGCGCTCGCTAATTCTCAAAGAAAGAGCAAACGCCGGTTTTTATTCGCAGCAGCCATTATCTCTCATTAGAGTGGGTTCTTTTAGCGGAATCCTACCGCGTCTCTCTTATGTCAACCCACACTTATATATATATATATACGGAGAAAACGTGAAAGATAAAATAAAAGCAAGAGAAAAGGGGTGCCGGAAGAGGGTTGGATGAAGTTCCATGTACTAACACAATGCTCATGCATATATGCGACTGCATATATAGACAAAATCGGAGATAAAAAAATCGGACGGATTGCCGAAGGCAGATAAATCGGAGGGTGGATTATGACGATGATTGCATGATGGATGCTCTTTTTCTCTCTCTTTCTCTCTCTTTTCGTAATCTAACACTTGCATTGATCCCTTTGACAATAAATCACAGATTCCATAGAGATTTTTTCAATCACTTATGGAAATTATTTTCCTGCCGAAAAATACCTACTCTAATTATTCATTTATTGAATTTACAGATTAGAAATAATGATTACGTTTTTATTGTAATATATTCTAAGTTTTACGTTTTTAGAATAAGCACAATAAAGCATTCTTTTTATTTAATGCCTTGTGTGTGTGTAGTATAAATATTATATCATAAATTATATACATATATATATATACGGAGAAAACGTGAAAGATAAAATAAAAGCAAGAGAAAAGGGGTGCCGGAAGAGGGTTGGATGAAGTTCCATGTACTAACACAATGCTCATGCATATATGCGACTGCATATATAGACAAAATCGGAGATAAAAAAATCGGACGGATTGCCGAAGGCAGATAAATCGGAGGGTGGATTATGACGATGATTGCATGATGGATGCTACGCGTGAAAACGGCATCAGGATGTCAAACTCGACGTCCATCCACGCGTCAAACTATTCTTATCCACCTTGTATTCAAAATATGTATGAATGGGTAAGATCGTGAAAAAAATCAAGCTCAATAAAATCAACAAATTAAAATTCATTCATATTATTTGTAATTGCAAAGAAATAAACTAATCAACACTGCGAAAGTAATCTGTCTGATAGGAAACTCATTTCAGATGTAAATCTTAATTGTTAAAGAAGATAATAAAACAATTTTTTTTTATTAATTTAATAAATTGTAGTAGAATCAAATATATGATCAAAGTTCAATACAACATTGAATAGTAGATTCAATAAACGTTAAAATTTGAAATAAGTTTAAAATTTTCGAATAAATATTTCAATTATTCCACTGCAGCATTATAACATGTCACTTTGACAAAAGGATAGCGAATGAGAAAAAGACAAAGGAATCGGAGTCGCCCGCGCGGAGGAAAGAAATTTACGCGAGACTCAAGTAGTATCCTAATTTCGCATTTTTTTTCACACACTCACGCGTGCACACAACAACAGACTTACCTCGTCGGTGCGAAAAATCCTGGCGGAACGGCTCGGCAGAAGTAGATAGAGAAAGAGACGGTCGGACGACGACGGGCGACGGCCGGCGACGGCGTTGCGTGCGAGAGTGGCGTCGCGACGCCGGGCGTCGGCGTGAACCTCGCACGCGCTGCGTTCCGCAGCATCCCGCGCCGAAAACAATGGCGTCGTCGGGGTTCCCCGATCAGACCGGGGAACGGAGCACCGCCCATGATAGGCACCGCCTCCATGGTAGAATGTCAGATCGCGGTGATCGGGCCGCATCAAAAGCGCCGCTTGGAGTTGCGCGACGCCAAGCCGAGTCGAGCTGCGCGGCACGATTGTAGTTTATCCCCACTGTCGGCGAGCATGACGAGCCGCGGCCACGCCACCGATGGTATGGCTCCACCCAGATACCAGCGCTGGTCCTGGTCGAGAAGCCTCGTCAGGGGCAACGTTGCCCGGAGGCAAGGCAACTGCCTGGTCGACACTCGGCTTGTACAGAACGAAGAAGAGAGAAGGAGAGTGAACGGGGGAGAAAGGAGAAAGGATGAGGAACAGAGACGGCATGAGGCGCAGCAGGGGAGAGAACAGGGACAACACCGACCGAAGGGAGACGGTGTGTACGAGGGAACGCGCTTAGGGGTGGGGGTGCCGAAATCGTGCGGCAGGGATCTCCGCATGCGGGAAGGCAGACTCTGGTGGTCAATCGGGCGCCGCGCACCGCAGCAGCGACGCGTCACTGCACCCCTGTTTTGGGAGTCGGGCACGTGCTTCTTTCCTCTCCACCGACGCCGCGCGTTCAACTGCACTCCGGCTCGCAGCATCTCGTCCGCAGCCAGCCAGGCGCGATAAACTTCGATAAACCGCCGAGAAGAGCCCGCGCTTCTCCACGCTCGTACCCGGAAAGCGTTATCGTGAGAAGACAGCTCCTGGATATTCTTGTTTCTATTTTAACGCGGGGTACGGCGTCGATTTGAACGTTATTTGCGCGCTCTTCTCGCTTGACAAGACCTCGCCGCGACCTTGAGGACGTGGTCCCGGTCTCTCGGATCTGTCATCGTGCCTCGTTCAAAATTGACAGCAACAATCCGCGTTTAATCGTCAACAGTGTGGATTCAACGTGGCGAGATTCGATGCACTCTCGTTAAACTGTGCAATTCTAGTGTAACAGTGAGATCAGAAGTTGAATCGCCGCATATCCACTCGTCGACAGCTGATTCCTTGAGATTCCTTCATCGGCGCGGCAAACTGAGGAGCTCGAGAGCTCCGATCCACGGGAGCTGTGCCGAGAAAGTATCGTGAACGGAGCAACGTCGTCGCGGATTGTGCTTTCAGCTGGTGCCTGGATCCGGCCTGACCACGGCCATTCTCGACACGGTACGTTCGCATTCAATTTGCGATGAAAAATTAAACGGGATTTCTTAACATTTTATCGGCACTGTGTAAGTTTAAGAATTTTATTTGCAGACGCACACAGGCTTTTCCCTGAAACGTGTGGTTAGTAAAATGTTAAAAACAAAGCTTATATTAGTTAGCTAATTGTGATTTATGTTCAAATTTCAATTATTTTGGATATAATTATCCATTGTCAAGTATAATACTTTCATTTATTATAGTATTTGTATAATGATTCTATGAAAAAAAAAAACCAAGGGGGGTTTCCGTATTTCCTTTTTAAATCACATTGTTCTTGTTTTTTAATGGATGAATAATATCTCTTCTCATTTCTGAAGCACTTTGTGTGCTGCAAATAGCCGTCGGACTTTTTATATTAGCGCTATATTAATTCCTGACAACTGATTACTGATATAATTAAATAATTATTACTTTTAGAAAAAAGAATTACAAGTAAACCGCAATTGTCAATTTAATAAATTAATTTCAATGTTTAGAATTTCATATAATCAATTACAAATACAAAGTCTGAATATTAAAGAATATTTATGACTTTTTTAGTGTAAATTGCTTCATTATAAATGTAATATCCTTATTATATTTTCCATATATTTTTCTGATTATTCTATATAATTTGTATACGGTTGGATATAAACGGTTTTAACGATATGTAACACATAAAATCTTTGAGAAAAGTGATTTACTACAAATTACATATGTGGATTTTATCACAATTGTTTTGTATTTATAAATAGACTATTTCCATGACTAAGAGTTACAGATTTTTATGATGTATGTTTTTTTTCGGTTTAAGCAAGGTTTGATTTACAAAATTACGAGATTTTTTTATTTCATTTATATAATAAGTGCAAAGAAATATATTTTGTTGCTCGACAACAACGGTGGGAAGGAAACGAATTTTCCCTGCAGAATTGCCTCTTACTACCTATAGAAAACTGTAATAAACCGAAATAGAGGTAATAACTTGGGCGCACGGCGTGGTGCGACGGTTAGCTACAAATTGCGCGTGGCACAATGGCGTTGTTAACGACCGAGTACCTCATTATGATCGCGAAAAAAAGCTGTCGATTGCAAGCGGAATGCATCGCACTTGTTTGACGAAAGTGCGAGAGGCAATATCGCTGTGCTTTTTATGAGAGCTTCGGTTTTTTAACGTACAAGAGACGCTCTATTTATGTTCTATTATTATATTCGTTCTATTATGATCTCGTTCCAGGATCAATTTGAATTTGGAGTTTGTGTAACTCGTTGATAAAACTTGTACGATGAAATTACGTTTTAAAGAGAGCGAAAAACGAGAGAAAAATTTTCATTGGTCATTCTGTTATTATTGTCCTCTTACATTTTACGTCTTTATTGTATAACTATAATTCACTATAATTTATTATATTTCACTATTATATAGAGAATTTTACTATCGCAAATATATAAAAAAATTATCAATAAATGTGGGTTTTAATATTTTGCAGCTTTTTGCATATTTTGCAGTTTCTCTCTCTCTCTCTCTCTCTTTCATTATTCTTTATATTTAAATTTTAATGAGTAAATCGCAACGTTTTTATTATCTTTTTCGTAAACAGCACTTGCAATTTTTAAAGGGGAATTATGAAAGAAGAGCGCATTAAATTATATTTCATCAGAAGTAATTTTTTATGTAGCTCTGTATAGAATTCCATATAATACAATATTTGAGTTTTTTTTACATTGTTTCAGCTTGCATGTTTATTCGAGAGACACATTGTTGATATTATTTCTAGACGAAAGAAACGAACACGTTTTGCTCATTGAAAGTGATACAATCTTGGAAAATAACAGATGTCTCTTCTCTAGTGCTTGACAAAGAAAGCGTTCGCGTACTTCAGAGATTTCATGAAAAGCCCTTTGTCGTGCCTAAAGCGCTGAAGGCGGAGGGAAAAAAGGACAAAGCTGAGAAAAATCTTAATCTCAATTATTCACTAATTTTGAGTCTCTTCTCTTGTGGTTTTTCGGTTAAATTGATTGATGTTAACGTTTCGTGTTTTGCACAGGAATGTCTAATCAATTTTCTCTGTAATTATGTGACGTATAATTATAAATCTTTATCTCATCAAAAAATATATATTTATAATGTATATTAAAGAGAAAGAGAGAGAGAGAGAGAGAGAGAGAGAAAGAAAGAGAATATTGATACACAAAATATTATTAATCAAAAGATATTAGTTTCAATAAATTGTCTTAATTTAAGACTAAAAAATTATTAAATTTAGTGTTTCTCTCTCATTCTCTAGAAAAAAAATCACATTATATTATTATATAGAGAAATGTGATATATATCTGATAGTTATTCATTGTAGTGCACGTATGAAATGCGTCGGAGAATTAAAAACGATTAACTTGTGTATCCAATTCGAATTAGCGTGACGTAGTGCGAATGTACGCGCTCGCAGTTTACTGCCGGCATTCTAATTGGCGTAAATTAATGCATCATGCTTAAACTTCCGCCTTTCGCGCTCGACGAGACGCAGGTCGTCTGCGAAATATTCCGCTTTTGTGTACCGAGAAGGTAGCGCGCGTCGTGTCGTTTCAACGAGACTAAACGCGCAGCTTGTTCCTCAGATCTCCGTCGCGTTCTGCACGTCGCGTTCTCCAGATGTCCGGATAGTTCTGAGGCAGTAATTTCATCTCGCGCCTCGCTAGCTAAAAATCCTGTAGTGTCCATGTGAAATAGCTTACCATTCCTATATCCCTTTATATTTTTTAAATAATTGATAATTGGAAATCTTGTAATTATGGCTGGCATATATTCGTCGATATAAAAAAGAGTATTTGAAGATTTATTGCTGTTATTAAAAGGTAGCACACGCAAATTTATTTAACTTTGCTTGTGTCACCGATATTCTATTATGTCTCAAAAAGAAATACGAAATTTATTTAGATATCACAAATTATCCATTAACATATGATGTAGAATACATTTCGTAACGTGTGTATTCTATGTATTTGTATGCGGTGATATTTATGGATCTTTTGCTACTTATTTTTATTCTTTCATCAAGTGACATAGATTGCTACCGCGAGGAAATGTCTTCTCATAATGTTAAGTATGTACAATATATGTATATACAGCATCAAAGATTAAATTATTTATCTTTCTGCCACTCGCGCGGAATCGCGTTTTGACAGCGGGATCCAATCGAGATCTCGTAGCGACGAGTACGATTTCTCTCTCTTTCTCTCCTTAAGAAGTAGCATCTCGAGAATGAGTCGCGACGAGAAGCGGAATGATCTCGCGGTCGACCACGTCCGTTTAACGACCCTTGGCTCGCCGCTTTACAGCTTGCACTTTTCGATCCGGTCAGGCGCGGGTATTGATGTCCCCCGCTTTGCCGTCGGCCGTCGTGACGTTACCGCGACTGGGCTTGAAAGGAGCTAATGATCTACGAGCCGCGCCGAATGACAATTAACGCTCTCGTCTCGACACACGCCGGCGTGTGATGATTAACCGTGATGAGACGAGGGGCACGCCGGAATGCGCATAGATGCGCTGCGCTCGCGCCTACATGTCGGATTTCTCGATCGTCAGGATATTGTCTCGATGATACTATAGGTATATTATTCGATAGTGCGGTGGTACGATTAGATCATTTCTCTTCATAGAAATTTTTTTTTCATGACATTTCTCGAAAATAGTTTTAAATAATTTGCATTAATTAGTTTTATTTATGTAATACATGGTTTAATTATCGGAAAATTTTGATAAATGGTAGGCAAATAAAATAGCAAGTAAATTGTGCTACATATCGTTACGAGAGTGCTACTCATTTCTCATGTATATAGATATAATATACATTTCCGGGTACAATTGTAAAAATAGAATAACTACCGATAATTATGCGTTATTTCAAAGTCACAGTATAGATATATACTTATAATTATTTTTAAGGTGCAATAATACTGCACATTTACTTTCTCTCTCTCTCTCTCTCTCTTATGAATATAGTGATACTTTGTTACAACATATGAAATACTATGCAACATATCAATATCTATAATTTATTCGCGATTATTGAGTCACTTTATTAACTATATTGCAAATACGAGAATAAAAAAAAATACTTGTTTCTGAAAAAATTAGATTTAATTTTGTAATCCATATTTTTCCGATTATATATCATAATCGTTTTAATTTTATGATAGCGTGAAAAAATCTTTGACAACACTTTGATATTTTACACATTCTCGCTAGATCTACCGTGCGTGAACTAATACGAACAAATTTATGCGGGATGTAATCACCCTTGGAAAAATTCGGAAATTTACCGCCGACACGGCAATGTTTATTATTTGTTCGGGCGCTATTTATTTTTTGGCGCACTTTGAAATTTGCTTTTGGCGAACCAGTTTCGACGGCGCCAATATTTACCGCGCTTCGCAGGCGATAATCCCTCGAATTATGTTCTTTGAAGCCACGTTATTTACGCGTACGGAAGGGCGTGTGCGACGCATCGTGTCGCGTTGCTTCCACACCGCGGATAGGTACAGGGATCAATTGAGTTTCTGTAAATTGTCATGAATTTATAAATCATTTATCATTGTAAAAACGTAAAATGATGTATGTAAAATAATATCGGGCGCTTTACACGGTTAATCGTCAACGCTGTTGCTATCGGCTAAGTGATTCACCGCCGTCGGCTGACGCGGACTCTCTTTCCCGCAAAGTAAAAATTTCATAATACGATTAAGAATGACGTAAAATCGAAACGCGCTCGCATCTGTTAATAATCCACGCTGTCGATACGTTATGTCGTTATGCTTGAAATTGGTTTTTGATCGCGCTCTGCACTAAATAATCATCGCGTCGCGATATATTCCCCGTGAGAGTTACGGCATTATCGGCGATATTATTTAGCTCTGATAATACGATATCGGTGTTATAGCATGTTATACGTATTTTAACATGTTTATGTGCAACATGTTTTTCTCTTTTTTTTTTTTTTTTTGTGAAAACGGTGATGGATTTTCAGCCTTCGATTTTTGTTTTAAATATAAAACGCTATTATTACCTTCTTCTCTTTTTTTATTTTTTAAATTTGGTTTGTATAATTATGTTACTATATTGTGTACTCTATTATAAACACAATTTAATATAAATAAAATTGTATGTTTATACTTCTGTTTCAAGAAAATTAAAAATAGAGAGATTTTATATAAGTAAAATTTTCCAAAAAATATACCTATCGCACAAACTTAATAGATGCATTTTACTGAATAATTATTAGATCTTGATTTTTGCTACATCAATTATCCAAGTAGTATAGTTATATATATCTACTTATAATTATCTACTCTTTTATATAAAAATGAATAACGTTGTATTCAATTAATGCTTTCACATAAATATCAACAGTCAGTCTCGAGTTAAGAGGAAATTATACAGAAGAAACTTGACCGTGCCATTCGGAATGATTTTAGCACTGTGTTAGCGTGGCCGGAGGTGGCGGCGGTGGAGACGGCGGCGGCGGCGGCAGCGGCGGCGGAGGCGGCAGTGGAGGCGGTCGGCTGAGCCTGCACCTTCGTCCTTGCGGAGGTAGCGGTGGCGGCGGTATCGCCGAAAGTGACAGCGCTTCGGATTATCCGCCGAGCGCTGCGGCAGCGCGGAGCAGGGAGGCTGCGGCGGCGGCGCTGCACGCGGCAAGAACCCTGTTGGGCGCGGGGGTGGCCAACCCTTGCTCGCCCACCCCCGAGCCGCCCTTCTGGAAGATGCCGCATAAAGGTCTGTCGAATCAATTTACTTAATTTTACGCGAGCGAATGCGAGAGACGGCGGGATGTTTGGCGATTGTGATTTGGAATAGTATTGAGAGCGGATGGTCGATAAGTTAACTCTTTGATCAGTAGTTGATGGATGTGTCCTTTGTCGATAGAAACTCTTGTCGAACGGATGGAGTTATTTATATACGAGACCTATAATTGATTTATTCTATGATAAAAAGTATCAGTAATTATAAAACGCTTTGTATATTAATTGGAAGTGTGAATAGAATGAAAACGAAAGACTTGCCGATCCTAGAAATTATAATAATCGAGTAATTTTTCTATTCAAATTGGAGAAGTACATATATATTGAAACAGAGAACAAGATGTGTAGATGTGCAAAGTTTTCGATCCTCTCGCTATTGCATCGGGTTTAATGATACTAGAACGTTTATTTTAACGACAGAAAATCGACTCTTTCTATAAATTCCAGAACTGCCGTGTATTTTTGCGGATGCTCCAATTACCGCGGTTGCTTGCGAACTATCCGACTATCACTCGGCAAACCAGACGGTTATAGAAAGAAGCAACTGTCGACACTGTCTACTCGCTGGTAATTTCGGTGCGATAATCAGTACGTACAGGCCCAGTAACCCGCAAGTACACGCATTTTATAGTCCCTAATTAATTAGTTAAAGGTCTGTCGCATTTATTTCCGATAACTCTAACAATAAGACAACAAACATGAATAATACAGCAGATTATAATACTAAAAATTTTAAGAATCATATATCACTTTATAGATATTAAAGATGTTATGTCATATTAATGTCATATTCAATCATAATATGTTAAATTTGGCAATTAGTTTGGTTAATGGCTTTTCATTTTTTAACAATAAATCTTGATGTATTATCGCTCCCGGTTTAAAGTTTTATTAAGCAGGTAAATGATTCTGATAAAGACTCGCGGTTTTTCCAGCAAAGTCGCGATCTCGCGATCAAGTTATACGAGAAAGGAACGAGTAAATACGCGTACGCTTATGGGCTTAGGTGGGCTCGCGGTTACCCTCGGGGGTTAGTCGGTAATTTGACACGCCTTTGGCCGGCTTCTGTCGGGCCAGCGGCCCCTTCGCTGGCGACTACGAAGGGTGGCGAAGAGTGGAGGCTCTCTTGCACCTCGAAAGATTCGTCCGCGCGACCCGCCAGCACCGCTACACACCCGGTAACAATCGGTTCGACTATCTCAAACCTCCCTTCCTTAATAAGGGGTGAAGGAGGGGTTGGGGGACGCTTACACTGCCAATTTGTCTCGATGCAACGTAATCTTTCTCCGTTAGAGAGCGGAGACGCGGGATCGCGTTACGCAACTATGGCCCACGCGGGATTATAATGGGACTTGTAGGAGAATATAAGTGCTTCCTCCCTCTCTCTCTTTCTCCCTCTCTCTCTCTCTCTCTCTCTCTCTCTCTCTCTCTCCCTCGCTTTCTATAGGTTCTCTCCTCGGAGTATTCATGTATAGTTCCAAGGCGGGCAATGCTCGCGTGGCACGAGCGCGCCCCTCTTTCATCCATCCAACCACTAATCTACCCCCTCTTGCACTCTCTTTTCCTCTTTCTTTTTACTTCGTACTATATATATATATATATCAGAGAACGAACTGCCTCTCTTACTCTTCGGTTCTCCATAAAATCCCCGGTAGCTATTTGAATCAAACGCCCGATTCATGAGAGCGCTTTATTTCGTTCTCGTCGTTACGCGAGATTTGTTAATGGTTATGGGCGTCGGGCCCCGCGTGCGTTGGTTACGGAGATCGGATCTCGCGCGTGCCAGGGTTTGGAGACTGCGGAGATTACCTGCTTCCGTTGCTCCAAGAGGATAATAAATGTCGGCGGTGCGAGATTATCCCCGCGACCAATCAATAGACTACGGCTCCGCAATACGTCTGCGAGGCTCGCCGATAACTTTTGCTAGTAGGCAGGCATATGTGAAGGAATCGATTTATTTCTTCGGATTGCATGACTGCCATATTGTGAAGAAAAAATATGCTGTACGAATTATTCAATCAGTTTCAAAGCAGCTGCATGCGAATTCTGGGATACTTTATGTAGGTATTAATTAATCTTTTCGTACCACGCGGGATTATAATGGGACTTGTAGGAGAATATAAGTGCTTCCTCCCTCTCTCTCTTTCTCCCTCTCTCTCTCTCTCTCTCTCTCTCTCTCTCTCCCTCGCTTTCTATCGGTTCCCTCCTCGAAGTATTCATGTATAGTTCCAAGGCGGGCAATGCTCGCGTGGCACGAGCGCGCCCCTCTTTCATCCATCCAACCACTAATCTACCCCCTCTTGCACTCTCTTTTCCTCTTTCTTTTTACTTCGTACTATATATATATATATATCAGAGAACGAACTGCCTCTCTTACTCTTCGGTTCTCCATAAAATCCCCGGTAGCTATTTGAATCAAACGCCCGATTCATGAGAGCGCTTTATTTCGTTCTCGTCGTTACGCGAGATTTGTTAATGGTTATGGGCGTCGGGCCCCGCGTGCGTTGGTTACGGAGATCGGATCTCGCGCGTGCCAGGGTTTGGAGACTGCGGAGATTACCTGCTTCCGTTGCTCCAAGAGGATAATAAATGTCGGCGGTGCGAGATTATCCCCGCGACCAATCAATAGACTACGGCTCCGCAATACGTCTGCGAGGCTCGCCGATAACTTTTGCTAGTAGGCAGGCATATGTGAAGGAATCGATTTATTTCTTCGGATTGCATGACTGCCATATTGTGAAGAAAAAATATGCTGTACGAATTATTCAATCAGTTTCAAAGCAGCTGCATGCGAATTCTGGGATACTTTATGTAGGTATTAATTAATCTTTTCGTAACATATTTCGTCACAACCGAAGAACATTAAACGGAGAATATTGCGTCAAAGATAACTCGTTTATATGAAATATTGAAAGATTAATAGAATATTAATGATACGATTGAGAAACTGCATATATACGCAAACACTATATTAAAATAGATTAATTTATTTTCATGATATTAAGGAGATTGCTGTTGTCTTTTTTTTTGTTTATTATGATAATGATTTGTTTAAATACAATGAGCATTAAGTATCAAGTTAGGATTTCGCGGTCCGTTACCTGACGCAAAATTACTGACGCAAAATTTATTTAATCGTACTGTGGCTACGCTCGCGGCGTCGAGATTATCGTGTTATCTCGCGCATTCTCACGCAAAGCATCTTGTTATCCGTGAATAGTAACGAGCGCGAATGAATAGTAACTAACCCCGTTGGTACAATTTTAGTATTTACAGTGGAAAGCTGTGCAGAGAAAAAAGGGAGAGAAAGAGAGATAGAGAGAAGGGGAGAAAACGATCTGCCTTACGCACGGTGTCAATAATAACGGGTGCGGTAATGAGTATGCGCTGTCGGAGACGGTGGCTGCTAATACTGCGCCGTCTCTTAACACCGTCCGTAATGAATTCGTCGTCGCTCGGAAAGCACGCGGGAGCGTCTCCGCTCTTACCGCGATTCAACTCATTAGAGAGCGTATGCCTGGCATGCCATCTTTGATGTCGCTGATGGGCGCCCACGAGATGAAGTTCTCTCTCGTCGGTGCCATGAGTTTATCACGAAACGCTCGGAGGCTATGCCGCGCGCAGGTTTGCTCATCCTTCAGGATCTCTACCCTGACGTGATAATAATATTTAGCCGGTGATACTCGACAAACGCGTCGGTTCCAGAAGCGCCTTCCACCCGTTGTGCCGTTCATAGATGCTAAACTATTACCGGAAATAAGAGATATTTTTTATGGATGCCGACGAATAAACAGCAATTCGTTAAATGAATTCGGAACCGACACACTCTGTAACTGATTACGTTCGGCCGGTTTCGAGTCGTAACGCGGGACTAATTACCCGCAAACTATTATTACATCCCATTAAACAACTATTCCCCTGCAAACTTTCTGTCATCGTTGGAAATTGGAGTGGCGTATTAGCCGCTTCGCTGAGTTGTTTTGTTTCTATTATCGGATAACGATCAATCGTTTCTTTCCAACGGGTTTAATGTTTATCCGTCTAGGATATACGTACAGTAGCTCACACAAAATTGATCAAGTAAAATTTTAAAACGTATCATAACACACTTGTATTTTTGTAATTTTGCTTCCTCATAAAAGGAAGCTTTGTTTTCGTGCAAAAATTTTTTTTTGTGTTTTTTATGTCAACGTATTTAGAATGTTCCAAAACGTCGAAAAATCATATTTTTTAAATATGTCCGTATGTATGTATGGAATGTGCATTGTACAACTTGTAACTTTCGCAATTTTTGAGATATCGGGCTAAATTTTTTTACATAAATAAAATATTATTAAAGGATGGTTGGTATTGAATTTGGTGAGGATCGGTGAAAGGGTTCATTTTTCATAAAATTTTGAATTTTTTGAGAAATGTCTATACACGCTGTAACTTTGGTAAATTTTGAGATATCTTCCTCTATGAGAAAGTCAAAATTGAAAAACTCGTTTGCTTTAAGGAGCTTAAGCTTTGCGAACAAAATAAAATTATGAGAAAGCAATGTGCAAGTTTCTAATTTGCACAATTTTCATCTTATTTTTGCAAGTATTCAATAACTCCGGCAAATTGATCTTTCAGTTAACTTTCGATTACTATTAAATAGACTTTACGAAAATTCTATGAAAGATTTTATTGCATAGTCGATTCACATAAAACGTTACATCAATTCTCATCCTGTTTATTCGTGTGTCTTAAATACTGGCGATTGTTTCTACGCTTGAAGATCGTCTCTTGCTCGGCGCGGAGATTCGGGAGATGTTTGGCGAGGGCGGTAGAGGGTGGCTCGACCAAGCGGACTGAGCGAACTGACGCGGGGACTGGGAGGAAAGCGTCGAGGAGGAAGAGGGTGTCGCGACGTCGTGCGCCGGGGTTGCACAGGATGGGATTTAATCTGTGTCCCGTTTCACGCTCAGCCAAGTGGAACCTTTTTGCCTCACTTTGCGGCGCGACTTGCTTTTACGCCGCACCGCCGCGTAGATTAACGCGAAATTATATATAAAGAATGTGTGCGGTCGGCGGTTGTGTGCACGAGTTGACGATATTCGAGCCCTCTCGCCGACATCATCCCCCTCTGTCGGGGGTGGCCGCCCTCCGAGAGGAAGGCATGAGGCGAAAGACGATGAACGTAAAGGGTGTACCTCGCGCGCGCGTACATGTGCAGCTAAGTCATGCACCCTTGTTCCCTTTGTAACGAATTAAACTTGTGAAAAACAGCACAGACTCGTGCGCCGTCCCTTCAAAGAACGGAACCGTCGACGACGCGTTCTCACTTTGACCGCCTATTTTTAAGGCAAACCATTCAACCGAAAGGATAAAGCGATTCGGAAGAATACGAAGCATCTTTGAATCAGAATTGTAATTTAGATAGTTTTTAATTAAAATACGATAATTAAATCTTAGCAACATATAAATCAGTATATTATTGCGAAGGGCTTTATCTCTTTGGTTTCTCGGATAATAAATATTGATAATGTTAAGATTATCAATTGTGCTCGTGAGCAAAAAAATATATATATTTTTATATATACATTACATGTATATATAATATAAAATAATTAAAATATAATCAATTTTGATACGATATGTAATTGCATATAACTCATCAAGATTTATTACTGTCGGTGCGATCGCCGATGACGATCGTATGCGTCCGTGGACCTACTGTTCTTATTAATTTGAATAGGATAAATATTTATTAATTATGAAAAATGTTACCAAAAGTGTCGCAAAGAAAAATTGATTCAAAGAAAATATTTTGCCTTTATCGTGATGGTCTACTTTTTGTCGCGCACATAATTAAAGAAACTTTAAACTCATCAAGATTCAAGTTTGCCGAAAGTGGCAATGATTATGATCAACACGTCGATAATAAGAATCAATCTTTGTTGTATAAAATAATCGTTAATATTTTTTTAAATATTTTGTAAAGTATCTGCCAATGTATTTCATAGTTTTCGCCATTATTAAAGCATAAAATTAAAAATGCCTAGAAAATCACGTTCTAAAAAGGGATCGCATTATTTGTATCTTCCGAATTGCTATTGCAATAAAAAGATGTACAGGAAGCACCTCCTTGAAAATTTCTTCGGCACCGTGGATTTATTTATAATAAGACTCTCAACTTCAATTTCTCGCTCCTCGTTCTCTACTACTGTACTCCATATCTTATTTCTTTTACTCGAAGCTCGCTTAAAAAGTTCCGGTTATAATGCGGAGATGGTCGAAGTTAAAAAAAATGTTTATGATAGGTATAGAATTATAGGTTAATGAACGAATGATTGCCAACCAATAGTCGCGGATAAAAGAATAATTTCTTGTAGAGAACAGATTTATGGAAATTAATAGATCAGCGTTTTTATATCTCTCGGAATCTTAACTGCCACGTCTAAAAGCCTCGTAAAATAATTTTGTTTTGAAATAAAAATAAATGTCATTAATTTAAAATTGTGAAGATTGTGTAATAATAAGTGTTTCAATGATGCGTTCATAAAATATTAAAAAATACATTAAAAATTAGTTTCTGAATAGTTGCCATATCTCTGTGCTTGATATTTTTATATAGAATATCGAATGATCGCAAAGTGTGAAATTTTATATCTTCTCGCGTCGGCGAAAACGAGACACAACAAAAGTGGCGTAAGGACGGAAGAAAGCGACTAGCGGAGGAACAGCAAGCGAGAAAACCACTTCGTGTTGTTATATGAAGTGGTTTCGTACAGCGACGGAGGCGGCGCGGACCATCCAAGATTACATTCCAACTATTTCTTGTCGCTTTGCGCGGTGCAAAGGCGGGAATTAATTAAATTCGTTAATTGCAAGATGCATTTAGCAACGTTGGCTCCCGTGCACCGTCACGATGACTTCTCGTTGGGAGAACTTCTCCTTTTCCTGACGATGCGCTCATATGAATTTAACAAAGTGACAAGGAAAGCTGAGAGAGGTCTATTTTTGCACCGAGATACATGTATAAAAAGCAAAAGAGCTTTTGTTCACTATGAAATCTAATATCTTTTCAATTGATGCCTTCATTGACTTTATATCTTCTAAGCAAATCAATTTTCAATTTAATACATTGTAAGCTTTGTATCGCAAATGTTACAATTTCTCCTAGATAATTACTGAATTACACAATGCACTGTGCATCTATTGTTACATTTACCATTATCCCTTTGCATCGCAATTACTGCCGTCGCGATATCAGACGCATATTTCCATTTCGGCGCTTCCTCCGCGCGCGATGCACCGTACGCAGTACATGTAACGCTCGTAATAAGGCACACGGCAGCGAATTAATCGGCGCGCAAGGGTCAAACTGATCTTCGTTACGTGACATCCGCTGGGCGTCGGAGCGTGTGATCGCGACGCAAACATCTCCCTTGGTGTTCAATCTGACGCTTCGGATTCGTGCGACAGGCGCGAGCGCTAATTAGACTAATAAGAACGTGTACGGCGCGCGTACTCTCTCCGCTGTTTACCAATCAGATGTTCTGGCGAAGTGACGTATACGTTGCGCGCGTTTTGATTCACAGAGGAAGACTTGATGCACGGGGGTGGTGCGGGTATTGGCGGGGGTTCTATGGTCGGACAGAACTCAATATTTGGGTGCTCGGCTGCAGGACACAGCGGGGTTAACCAGCTCGGCGGCGTTTACGTCAATGGCCGTCCGTTGCCGGACTCTACGAGGCAGAAAATCGTCGAACTGGCCCATAGCGGGGCCAGACCGTGCGATATATCACGCATACTGCAGGTTAGCAACGGATGTGTCTCCAAGATCCTTGGCAGGTAAGCACGCATATTGATCTCTATTTCTCTTTCGAAATTATGAGTGAGGCCATTCGAGAGAAATTAAATCGTTATGCGACACTTGAGTAATAATGAAATGTATGATTGCGCCGTCTAAATTCAATTAATCAAATTCAATGGATATAGAACACAACTGCTGCATTTTTTTGATATAATTAGTAATGAAGCCACTTGATATATATTTGTGACAAAATTTTCCTTTTATTTCTAATAATTTTATTTTGATGCTGAGATTTTAAAATAATTGGATATATGATAACAAGCAAATTTTACATTACATCTCAATTTTTCACGTTACATTTCCATGATCATCACGTTACAATTCTCTCGCAGGAATTGCAGGATATTAATAAAGTTAGAGCTTTCACCCACTGATATACCCTTTTTATAAAGTTTCTCACATTTTTTTTTCAATAACCATACTATGTTCAAAAGGCTTGCCACGACGTAACGTTAACATGCATTAAGCGAAAATAACAATCTCCCCTTTCGCAGGTATTACGAGACTGGTTCGATCAAGCCACGGGCGATCGGTGGTAGTAAGCCACGGGTGGCAACAACACCTGTGGTCAACAAAATCGCCGACTACAAACGAGAATGTCCTTCGATCTTCGCCTGGGAAATTCGCGATCGACTTTTGCAGGAGGGCGTTTGCAATAACGACAATATACCCAGCGTAAGTAAAAATGTCGAATTCAGAAATTTGCTTAATGTAATTAAGACTGATAGTTAATTAATATGATAATTTTTTTTATATTAAATGTTTTATTTGAGTAAATATCTCAGTGTAGTAGAATCGTATATTAAAATAAATATAGAATAAGTTTAAGCGGGCATATTGCACAAATTCCAGTTTTTTAAGATTGCAAGCCACGACTCGCATAGATTTATCGTACTATCTACCGCGACGCGTGCGAATAAATTTCCCGCTGTGTCGGCGTCATATTGGTCCATTGATTGGACACGGTATAAGTTTACGCATAATCCGCCGTCGACTTATCATGGCGCGCAGCCGGTCGGGTGTACTTACCCGTCGGATCCGGCCACTCGACCCTAATCAAAGTCTCGTCAATGCGATCGGCTGGGTGGGGTAATCGGTCCATTACGCGGACCTCGGCATTGTCCACCCTCCCGGGCGCTGATCGCCCTTCTTCGAACTCGAAGAATCCTCTCCGGTCGTACGTCTATTCGTCTACCAAACATCCTGCCCAAACCCTGCGATCCCTTCTGCCGATCGACCTACGAGAATATTTCGCGCGGTCGATCGTCCTCGTCTGGCTTCTTCGAGAACACTCTCCCTCCCGGTAATACTCTCCCTATCGGATACCGTCAGGAAGGGGGATGGCACGCGTACAAGTCGTTATCCATCGGCTCGTGGAGGAACTTCGCTCTTACCGGTGTGTTCCTAGGAATCGCCGAATAAAGAAAGTTGGTGGGGGATATGTGGGAGGTTGCAGGGTGATCAATCAGAATGTCTAGCACGTGTCGTCCTGTCGTCGAGCATGTAATGCATCGGTCAGTAGCGATGTTACATTTGAAAGAACATCACTCTATAGTATATCTATCACTTTACTGGATTTAATCTTTATCATACATTCTCTCTTTGCAAAATGACACAGGTGTTGGTTTATTAATAACATTTTTGTAATTTTTAAGTTTTCTACCGTAAAATATATCTAAAATGTATCTAAATATATCTAAAATCAATATACAAAATTTTCGAAATTATTAGTGGATAGAATAATTCTAAAATTGTTCTCGAACATTAACTAACGATATGAGACAAAGAAAATACGTTACTTGACTGACGGCAATTTCTTTCGATCGTTTCGATCCTCTCTCGAGTACTAGTGGATCGCTGGTAGCGTCGGCGGTGGCGTTGGCTGTTGTGGCTGGTACACATCGCGCCGAGGGTGATGCTGAGGGTGCGGCGGGGGTTAGTCGGCGGCGAGAGCGAACGGGAGCGGGTAGAATCAGGGTGAATGGGATCAGTTAAGCGTGTTGCACAATTATTCGTGTCCGGTCGCGCGTGTAATGGTCTGCATCGACGCTGCGGCTGTTGTGCGGCGAGAGTGGAGCGGTGCGGAGCGTACAGCCGGAATCTCTCTCTCTCTCTCTCTCTCTCTCTCTCTTTCTCTCTCTCTCTCTCGGTATCCAGGCTGGATAGACGGTCTGATGACGGAGAGCCTGGTCTGGGTTAGTGGGTTAGAACTCATCTCGAAACGTCGCTTCCGCTATCCGCCTGTTATTATCTCACGGCATCGAGACAAGCCGAGACGGTTGGAATTACGTATACTCGATGAGCTACAGGCATGGTAGATGTCGACCGATAAAATCATCGAGAATCAATATTTTTCAATACTCGAGTATCCCCGAGGAATTGAATTTTCAAATGAAATCCTGCTTCTTTCCGAACCATTTAATCAACTTCGTCACATTGTAGCGATCGTTACGTTAATAATTAAGAACATGTTCGGAAACTCCGATTCTCTACGATAGCAAATGCAATAATCAAGAATGTATGCAATAACCGGGCATAATCAAACCATCTGCGAAGTCAGGGTACCTCGTCTTTAATCCGGTTCCAATAGACGGCCGTGTCGCCTACTGTTCTAACGACGTTTTCTCGGCGTCGCCCG